CTTCTTGGGCATATGCACGAACTTCATCTTGTGTTAGGTTTGTTTATACTTTTTGACATGTATTTCTTCCAAAATTATCTCATAAACAATCGTTTGTAATATATTTTAACTTCTGTACGCTGACCGTTTACAAAAATCCTTTACGGTAAAGTCATTTAAAAGAGAACTATAGATTTGTTTTTAATAATCGAGGTTAGTGCCGTAAAAATAAGCGGATGACCTGCTATAGCGCGTTAAAATATAATTCATCGACAGCGTAAAAATTCTTTACGTTGTCATGGACTGAAACAGTTTTATTATGATAGAGAGCATAATTCTTTAATTTGGCGTGTTCAATTTTTGAGGTGGGTTATAAACAGGTGTTGCTATTTTATTTGGTTCTTAATTTTGACAGGTATTACTTTCACAATTGTGCAACATTCGAAGTCCGTCATGTTTAGTTTTTTCGGCAATATGATTGGTGACTTGAACGGCCTAATTTTTATGACAACCTTAACATTTCATGTTATGTTGACCAATTTTAATTTTAAAGGATGATTGAGGCCATTCTATTAGTGGAGGTAAATTCAAGATTTTAAATCATCAGATAGAGATATGTCAATACACCTATTATCATTTAAGGCGTGAATTTTGCTAACTACATATACAAGTGCGGAGTTAAAATGTTAAGTATATATAGATTCTGACGAACCTAGTAGATAGACACTATATTTGTAAATATTTAATTATGAACCTAGCACTAGACATCCACCGTTGATATGTAAATTTTTCCAAATACATTTAAAAAAAAAAAAAAATCAACTATAGATAGGATAGGTCCATTGAATATTGCTAATGTTAGAAACAATATTGTAGTATTCAAAAAACCTGGTGAACAGCCTTAGTAGGTCCCAAGGTATAAAAAAAGAATTGCAGAAAACCCAATATAAATGAAGTTTCTTTTCCACATTGGTTAATAATATTCATAATTCAATAAATAAATGAAATTGGAATATAAGTAGTTGAGAAAAAAGAGTAGCACTAGAACCATTTTAAAGAGACTCCCAACAACAACAATCACCACGTAATCCCACAAATGGGGTCTGGATTTTAAAGAGACTCCCGCATATAGCAAATGGGGCCTCAACTCTCAAAATAAAATTGAAATTGGTATCAGGAAGAAGGAAGAAATTCAGAGAGATTATTGGAAACCGGGCAGGCAAAAGCGTGGGGCCTTGTGCAGTGTAAAATCTTGAAAACACTTTCTTCTTTTTCTCTCATTATATAAGAGAGAGAGAAAGAAGGGAAGAGGTATAAATGTGATACTACTACTATTTCTTTGGTGGTGTCCTTATATAAAGTAAAGGATGTTATGTCTTTGCTTCTCTTAACACAAATTATTTCTTTCAAGTGCCAAAGGAAAGAAGTTAATTCCAAATTAAATGGAAGAACAACTTAGCTCTTTAGCAGTTACTCATCTTCTTCAACACTCTCTAAGAAGTTTGTGTATTCATGAAAACTCTCAATGGGTTTATGCTGTCTTTTGGAGAATCTTGCCCAGAAACTATCCTCCTCCCAAGTATACTACTTTTCATTCAGTTATAACCTGTTTTTTTTTGTTTAACCATCCGATATCTGAAATCCACTGGTTGAATTAATTCATTTTCATAAAACAAATCACATATATAATGCTAATTGTATTTCTTTTGAATTAGGTGGGATAGCCAAGGAGGAGCATATGATAGGTCAAGAGGGAATAGAAGAAACTGGTAAATGTTTTGCTCATATACCTTTTTTGCTAGATGGGAATTAGCTTAATATTTTTGGTATAATTAAATGATATATAGGATATTGGTATGGGAAGATGGTTTTTGCAATTTTGCAGCATCAACAGCAGAGATGAATGAATGTGAAGGATCTTCTACTAATAGTTATGGAGAATATCAAGGATTACAACCTGACCTTTTTTTCAAGATGTCCCATGAAATCTACAACTATGGAGAAGGGTATATATATATATATAACAAAGAAATATATGCAAAACTTTATTTCCTTCCACTTGTTTAGTACCTTTCAATTATTCCAAGGTTTTTCTCTACCTGAATTTATGGGTTTTTTATTTTTTATTTTTGCAGTATAATTGGAAAAGTAGCAGCAGATCACAGTCATAAATGGATCTATAAAGAACCTAATGAACAAGAAATCAATTTCTTGTCTGCATGGCACAACTCTGCTGATTCTGTAAGCACATATTCTAAGCTTAACTATTTATATATTTTTATTAATTTTCAATACTTTTTGTTTTGTTACCATGTTTTCTTTTTTCTTTTCTTTTTTTCCAACAGCACCCAAGAACTTGGGAAGCTCAGTTCCGTTCTGGTATAAAGGTAAAAGAAAATTCATGACCACATTCCATAAAATTATATTTCACTTAGGTTTGTTGGATCAAATGTTTGTTTTATCCTTTATTGTTTTCAGACTATAGCCTTGATTGCTGTTAGAGAAGGTGTTATTCAGTTAGGAGCTGTTCATAAGGTATAATCTCTTTATCCCTCTACCCTACTCACCCACCCCACTCAAAAACTCTTAAAACCAACACTATATCAACTATATAAAAGTTTGTGTTACGTGCGCTGACAGTGCAAAGAATTTTAGCACAAATAAGATTATGGTGACTTATAACAACAGGTAGCTTTTCATATAACCCTGATACGGTTAGTTGAAAATATAGTAATAACCTTTCATAACTGGTTAAATCGCACAGCTAGCTTAAAAAACTATTTATAGTGTCGGTATATAATATAAACACGTCAGCTAAAAAGAACATATATGTATAGATGGACTACATAGGGTTTTTTTTTGTAGTCGTATATTCTTGAAATTTACTGGGGGACTAATTATATAGGTCATAGAAGACCTGAGCTATGTGGTTCTACTAAGAAAGAAGTTTAGTTACATAGAAAGCATTCCAGGAGTTCTACTGCCACATCCATCTTCCTCAGCATATCCTTTCAGGATGGACGGTTACGGCGCACCACCCGATGCGTGGCACTTACAAGCCAATTTAGCAACTCCGGCACCAACTGAATTCTACGAACATCTCAATCACCATCAACACATGAAGATCACGCCTTCAATGAGCAGTTTGGAAGCATTACTTTCTAAGCTGCCATCCGTCGTTCCAGCAGATGCTGCTGGAATGACGGGTTCAATACCTACCTATTGTGAGTACCAACCCCAATATAGGCCTAGTGTTGAAATGTTGGGGTTGGAGAAAGTGGCTAAAGAAGAATATGATGAAGAGGAAGACAATAATGATGAAGAAAAAACTAGGAATAATAATGAGAAATTAGATCATCATGGTGGAGAGAGTAGTAGTTCAATGTCATCTTATAGTCATCACCATCACCATTATAATCATCAGCAGCATTTTGGTTATCATCCTGATTTGAATGTAAGTAGCAGCATGCCAAATAATGGATATTAATTAGAAGTCATTATGGTAATTAATTAAGGTTATTGTTTGGAATGTAATGTTTAGATTGTATTATTAGGAAGAATTGATCTTTCTCCACAGCTAACAAAGTAAATGTAGTCTCTTATCTTTTTTGTTTCACTCAGTGTTGTGGTGAATTTTGGAAATATTCCCTTGCTACTTTTCCTTGTGTCTACTAACAACTTTTCCCGTCTTTTAATATCTCATGCTTATAGCATCAACCTTTACCACGGTCGAACTGTGATATATTTCCAATCACAAGTAAAATCCCTTGTCAAGAATTGACATTGGCGCTTCCAATTGATCACTTTCAAAAGTATTTATCACCAAATGGAGGGAAAAAAGATCAAAAAATTCTTTCTTTAAAAGAAAAAGGGAAATATCAGTATATAAGTGAGCAGTGGCGAAGACAGGATCTCCACGAAGGGGGTTCAAAAAAAAAAAATTGTAGCTAGTGGGAATTAAATCTATAACCTTATGAAGGTTTTGAACCCCCTTGACCACTAAACTACACTTTCGGGTTGTATTAAGGGGTTCAAAACTTAATATATATATATAGGTAAAAATCAAATTTTGCCTTATATATACAGTGTAATTTTTCGGCCCCTTCCGCCCCTAAATCCGCCCCTGTACGTGAGTATGGTGGTAGGTGAAAGAGCATAAACCGTACAAGGGGACCATTCGAAAAGATTCATTAGGAATTGAACCTTTTGAAGGAGGTGATTGCATTGCAATGGCAAAAGAGCTTCCATATGATATTACGTAGCAATCATTTCACCAAGAAAACGAAACGTAAAATGTCTTACAGCATGAAAATATGATACGCTTTCTGGCCACGAGTTATAAGATTCATTGAGCTTCCTCCAAAACCTGTATACATTAGTAAAAAAAACTTGTTGGCTTTGCATGAGAGTAACGTCCTGGAATTTATCCTTTACCAATTAATCTTTGAACCTTCTTCTCATATTGACTTGCTCATTTAACTTAACAAAACAGCGAACATGCTTCATCACAAAAAGCGTTATAGGAACTAGTTTTCGTATACTTGATCTCTTGGTGTCAGGGGAAGCAATTCACCATCTCGTCCATGACAGATATTTGAATACTCAGAAGAATTAGCAAGTTTAAGATTTCCATAACTGAGAGCGAAAACCAAAATATTATCCCTCATCTTCTTGTTTAGTTAATGGAACGAACAATATATGATTTTTATCAGGAAGTTGTAAAATTGAAACTAAGTACTTGTTTGAACAGGAGAGATGCTATAATATACTGTTAACATAAAGAATTTCTGGCAAGACTGAAATTCCATCCAGTATCAAAGCAATAGTATTTGTCAAAAAGTAGCACAGTTGTAAACTAAGACTGACACGGCATCTAGTACCATGAAAGTGTAAATGCTGATTAGCTGTTCACGTAGTGGAGTAACCTATTTGGGAAAAACAAGTACTCACAAACCAATATGGGCTACCTACTGTCAATCACAATTCGATTCCACTTTCAGACATCAGAAGAAAGAAAAAGATTAAACAGCTAATAAGAAACAAATTACCAACCTGCTTGTAAGAAAACACGAGTATAATACAAAATTTCCAACTGAGTTTATATCAGATTGTTGTAATAGAATAGCTTTCAATTACTGAAAAACAAATAGACTTGAGTGTATTGGCATGCATTCCATCTCCTACATGTAGGAAAACTGAAAATTGATTGTGGGCTACATTTCTTCAGTAGTACAATGCACAAGAAGCAAGTGTCTCCTATTGAAATGATGCAACCATATCTTTGAAGTGAGCGAGGAGGTCACCAACTGTCATGACTTGATGATCAGGCTTGTCTCTCACTCGAACGCTCACCTGAAATAATTTTTATATATAGATCAGATTTTTCAGCAAGAATAAGCAGTTGAATATTGACTATAAGATTTAAAATTAGAAAAGAAAAAAATCCTATGGAGGAGAATGCATGAAGGATTACAGAAAGAAACCAAGAACTGAGAGAAGCATAAACCATGAACTACATCATTCCCAATAGCAAGAGCTATTCCCAATAGCAAGAGCTATTGTGCAGCTTGCAACTATTTAATGCAAAGTAAATGAAATCATGTTCAAAGAAATCTGGATGTTCCAACTATTCGAGATCTAGTACCCTGAAAACTTGAATGCTGACTTGCTGTTCCGAATGTTCCAACTATTCAAATTTAAAGGAAAATGATGGTCTTTAACCAACTTATCAGTCTGAACTTAGAAAGTCACTAAAATAATGGAGCCAGATCAAAGTAATCTGGATACTATTTTTTTCAGTTTGTTCAGTTGCAATCACAAAAAGATATATACGATGCAGGTTGGGGACAATAAAGATACCTGCCGACTACTGGCTTCCGCCTCTCCAACAACCAGAATATAGTTATATTGTGCCACTTGAGCCTCTCGTACCTGCACATACATTAACAGCCATAAACAAGCATTTCTTTTTAACAGGCCAACAAGAAAATTTTTTTTTAGACTGAACTTCTATTGCGTGAGAACTATTTAAGTTACTTCATCAAATCTTCATAGCATATTAGCTTCAAAGCTGAAAGCACTATGTCATTCTGATGGCTTGCTTCAGAGTACAGGATGGATATACAATATAAAATTTACATTTCCCATTATTCTGTTGGTGTATGTTACATCCTTCTTTTTCTATTTTTTAATCCACTAGTAAACTTCTCTAATAGCATTTCTGAAGCCAAATGTAGCTTAACAAATTCAGGACGGCAGTCCTTGCCAGTCCTTAATACCAATCAGAAAAGAGGTGACCACTATTAACTTTAGCTGATATATCAACAAAAGGACTTTAAAAACATAATGGTTATTGTTGGAAGGAACTCAGTCTTTTATGCCAGGTGAGTCTCCAAACAGACCTAACTTATATTTCCTTTTTATAAAATAAACTCTAACCAAGAAACAGCGAAATTTGTTGTTACTTCGTCCTTAGACCTAAATATTTACTGTAAATTAGTAATTTCATATAAAAATTGTTCAGTGAGCCTGCACTAGCGCGAAACAGACGGGCATTCTATCTGATAAACGACATTAAACACAAACCTTCTTCTGGATTGTCCTGTCACTTGTATCAACATCAACATAATAACCAGCATCATGTATTCTCTCTCGGAGCTTAATAAAAGACAAGCAAAAGGTTAAGGCAATTTCATAATGATGAACTACAGAGGAAAGAATAATTCATGAAATGCTATTCGTTTAATGAAAGTACATAACTGAAACTAACCTCCAGAGCATATGACTGAGATTTGTCGGAAACAGGGCAGACCATTGCTTGACGTGGACTAAGCCAGAAAGGCCATTTCCCCTTGAAATGCTCCAAAAGAATAGCAAACATACGCTCAACTGACCCAAGTATAGCTCTATGTATCATAACTGGTCTCTCCCTCTTATTTTCATCTTCTGCTGAGTATGCAAGGTTGAATCGTTGAGGAAGTTGGAAATCAAGCTGAAAAAGAAAGCATTCAGATGAATACTTCTAATGTGGTGCAATAGACCTTTCTGAAAAGTTTGAAGGTAAATGAAATTTCAAAGGGGAATTGTTTGTGGAATGAACCAAGGAAAGTAAGACCAAATCTAACCTGCAATGTTGCACACTGGAATTTTCTTCTCATTGCGTCAGAAACACTTATATCAATTTTTGGACCGTAAAACGCTCCATCTCCTTCGTTTTTCTGATTGAACAGAACTCTTTAAGTAAAAGTCAAGATTAAAGCAATTAAGAAAAAGAACAACCAAGAAAAGAAGACACAACGGGTGACTACCTCGGTTTTCCATACACACACACACACACAAAAAAAAAAAAAAAAAAAAAAAAAAAAAAAAAAAAAAAAAAATCCCAAAACAACAATCCCGATTTTCCTGTTGGTGTAACCCAAAAAGAGCTACACCTCTCGTCTCATTCTATACGACAACATTTGATTGCGCAAGGAATTTAAAATATTAGTTTAAATAGTAAAAAAGTAAATATAAGTCAAGTAGAATTACTAAAAAAGAAGTGAAAGCTCCATACAACAACTTTATAGTAGAATGGTGTCATCATTGAGTTGACATAAAATTGGAATAGAGTGGGATAAAAGAAGCACCAAAAAAGGTGTAGAATTGTAATAAATGATGTCTAAAGTCCAATTTTTTTTAATTTTCAGATCCAAGAAAATTTGATAGCAAACCTCCCAGGGCTTTCCGAACTCGTCCAATGCTTCCGCAAGAGCATCTTCAGCCTTGTTCCAGCTTTCTAAGTCTCCGAGATACTTTTCAGGCCTCTGCAAGTCAGAAATACGAGTGGGATATACATGGAGAAATGTACAACAGAAATGTGGAAAGCACTCATAAAATGCATGTTAGACCATATACAGAAACATCCGAATATAAGAACAATGGAAAAAACAGTTGCACTTGCAGCTCACTTTCCAGACAAGAAAAAGTATGGAACAACGAAAAATGTTCCATAACAAGGGCAACTGTCTGTAATCATTACTATAATAACAAATGCATGTAGGACCGATATTTAGCCGAAATCAATTATAACAATATGAAAAATAATGGAATAGAAGAAGTCGTACCGTTGATAACTTCAGGTCAAAAGTGAAACCAAATATCTTATACACATAACTGATGAAATCTAAGACACCCTTGACTTCATCCTTAATCTGCAACGTGAATAATTTAGGTCATACAGGTTTTCCAATTATGTAGGTTCATAGCATATTCATAAATCATAACCCACCTGTGACTCCCTGCAAAAGATGTGAGCATCATCCTGCAAAGTAATAGGGTTAGAAAAGAGGTTGTCTTAGCACAAAAGAGACAGTAATAAAGGTTTTATAGGAAGAGGTTCTTCAGGATGACACATGGCAAAAACTTAGTGTATGAAACAAACCACTATCGCTCCTTAAGGAAAAGCTTACATGATCATCTATAAAAGACAAAAGGAAATAAAAAATGTGACAATACCTGCTGAAATCTCCTGACACG